CTGTTCATTAATGTGTTGATAATATGTATAATATTGTGTATTACGTTGCATCTGATTGATTTCATAGCTTCTAGTTCGTTAAGAGAGAATGCCATCATTTTTTTAAGGGGTAGTCTGAAATCAGAATGGCCTCTTGTTATCTTTAATCTGTTTCCTGCAAAACATAATATCCAAACCCCAAATTTCTAGTTAATCTTGTTATTTTTATCTGCTCAAGGAAAGCAAAGATATAGACTTTAGGCGGCTGAGCTTCTTTCGCGAACGATAGGAAGTTTAAAATTAGACAGAAGGAAAAATCCGCAAAAATGTTCTACAGACTTTTCAAAACAGTAGCCAAAATATTTTTCACGAGTTTAAATTAAGATTTAAGTCAATATTTTACTTATTACTTCGGATTAAATTAAATTACAAGGGTCTGACTGATTGCTTTTGTTCACTGGCATTAAAAAGAATATAATGGAAATCATCCACTTTGATTAAAATAAAAAAGTTGTAATGTTGCGCGCTTCCGACCTGCACGCAACAAATAGTGGTGACTGCTAAGAACTGGAAAGTAGACAAAGTCTTGAGAAGGGTTTAAATCCCTTTTTATTCAACTTTAGAAATTACAAATGCGTGCGCTCACAAACTACGCCGACCCGGCGGTAAAATAAAAATAAGAAACTAAGAAAAGAATAGCAACAAGTGACTAACTACGAGCTCTCTAAACGTAACTAACCTCACCGCGTTCTAAAATACCGCTGATAATTCAGCAAACTTCTGAATATTACGTTGAAAGATTAATAATCTGCCGAGGCAAGCACACAGGCCGAAACGCGTGGTGCTTCAATTTCTAACTAGCCACCTCCACGCTCGTGCTTCAATTTCTAACTAGCCACCTCCACGCTCGTGAAGCAAGAAAGCACACTTTCGAACTCGTTTCCCTTCTATTTAACTCAGATTACTTCCGCTGACAATTTGAATCCTTGCGCGTTCTACTAAAATTTACATACTCTGGCATTGGCAATTCCAGGGGAAAGTAAGGCTTGACAGGAAAGATAGTTTAAACTTAAAATAAATGTTAGTTAAAATAAATATAAACCCTACAAAGTGATGCTTTCTTAACAGTTAAAATATAATATGCCTTTAATTTTTACCTTGTTAGTATTATATTATTACATTATTATTACATATATACGTTTCTAAGTATATGGGGGGGGAGTTATTTCGAGTTGCGTATGCAGCGGCATATCTTTGTTTAAGAAAAGCATGAGGTTTCATTTTTGATTTACGATTCTAGAAGGGTCTAGCATGTTTAGTATATTAGCATACTAAAGCTATTAATTCCATTAATTAGTTATGGTACTAATTATCGATAACTTTCGCTATTTACACCTTTGTAGTAGCTATATTACTTCAGTAGAATTAAGGGAGCAAGATTTGAATTTGTTTGCCAATCACATTTACACGATTAGAAATTTAATTAAAGAATTTCATTAATAAATATTTGTAGTATGCTACGATTATCCTTTACTTGTTGAGCTAAAATGCTGTTTGCTTATGCAATGAGCAACACCATTAGTGAAGCTAAAACGTTTAATAAATGTATATGTTGATAAATTAGTTCAGACGTATGCAATGAGTTAAACTTTATTAATTCTTTGATGTCCTTTATAATTTTTTATTTTGGGTTTTACGGAATTCTAATTTTAGATTGTGATAAACTTCAGCTTTAAAAAGCAGTTTTTATAGTGCTGTCTTTATGGAACTCAAGTAAAAAGAGACAGAAATTACTATGTAAGCTTTATTCTAAATTCATAACAGTTATCTTTAGTTAAAGCTACTATCCTGTCCCTTCTAACTGCAGCCTACAAATTTCATGCTAGTGTTGCTTTTAGAATCGTGGTTAATGCAAATGAAAGAACAGCGGTACTTAAGACGAAGTTCCACTGATTTCGTTAGAGCGCCAGAGATTCTGACTAGCACGCGTTTGCCTTTTGGTTATACTCTGTCTAAGCTATCACTACGCTCGGCCGTATTTCAGGCCTTTGATAGCTTCGCCGTTTAGTTAATATTTAAGGGCCAACTCCTGTAGAATTTTGATAGCTTCGGCTATATCTTTTTAGTTAAGCATTAGTTAAGTTTGATTTTCTTAGCACTTTTGAGTTCAAGCCCAAGTGGATGCTTTTCTGTCCGTCTTGAGAAAAGGGCCATCTGTTAATTCTTATTTTTAGCAATAAAGAGTAATTAACCCTTCTTGAGTTTACGTTCTGTTTTCTGAGCTAAAGTGATTATTCGCTTGCCAGTTCTCAAGGTTCCACACACAGCCGTAAATTCAAGGTAGGAACCCTATAACTGACACTAGTTTTTAACGTCTTATTAATATTGGGCACATTTCTTTATTCGGAAACGAATATAATATTTTTAAATTGATATACAATAAAATCGTTATCATATCATTCTTCAGTCTCTATTACTGTGAGGGCAGTATTTGGTGATCCTTATTACGCATACGAGCACAGCAAACGATAATTTTCAAGCAAGAGCAAGTTTCCCTTTAGTCTTCGTTTAATTTATTTGGCTATCCCCTTGCTGCTATTTCACATATTATTTGACGATGGGGCAATGGACCTTGAAGAACCTGACATCTGCAATGAAATTTTACGAAGTAATATATGACCAAAGACTCAAATGATTAAAATTTCGCCGATAATGATGCAATGAATCACTCCACCACAAGGAAAAAAAAAAAAAAAAAGAAAAGAAAAAAGTGTCAAGTGAATTTTCATTGATTGTGAGGAAGCTTGTAATGTTCCTCTGTGCTTATTCTATGTTAAAATGTCAAGGAACCTAGTGAACTAAGTATCGAATTATCGCAGAGTTCAAGTATTTATGACAGCTTCCTGAGAAGGGTTAAAATACTCTTTTATTCACTCAAAGAAATCATAACAGATGGCCCCTTCTCAGGCTTACAGAAAACCTCCACTCGGGCTTTTAAATCAGGATAAGAAACTAAGAAACTACTCTAATATTAAACTAAACAAACTTAGCCGAAGCTAGACACAAATACCTAATGTAGTTGGCTCTTAATTTAACATAGCCGGCGATTATCAACAGGCACGTACAATACGGCCAAGCTCAGTTCTGGAGATGTGAAGGCCATCGCATTGATCCTGTCGTTGTGTAAAATATTTAGAGTCCACGGCATATCGATGAAACTTTAAGAGCTCTTTTATTGCCATTCTTGCCATTTAACCGTGGGCTAACTTACTAGTAACATAACACCAGCCACATAAGGATACCTTTTAAAGTCTATCATCGCACTGTTCGTCTGCTCCCTTGATCAGCCGAGTCATCCAAATTCCCGCCAATAGAGTATATCTGGGAAATTCCTCTATTCACTCACATACCTTTCAAAAATGTGAATGAATTTAGCTAAGCAGTTTCACAATTTCTGACATGCAATCCTACAGGATATCGTCCGGGAACTTTTTGAATTAATGTTACGCCTGGTCTGGACCAGCGTCAGAATTTAGAATAGCAAAATTTAGAGAGATTTTTGAGGGGCGGCAGGATTTAGAAACCTCAGAAATTGCACAGGGCAGCAAAAAGCCTAGAGAAAGGTATGAGCCTAGTAGCCGTTTCCTTCTAGACTAGAGGTTATAAGGTATTTCTCCCGCCTGCTTAGCGTGCCTTCGTGGTGTACTGGTCTGCATGCTGTGCGCGTATTCCAGAGGTCCGTGGTTCGATTCCCGGCGAAGGCGTTGCTCATTTTCACTTCTCCTGCTTCCAAAAAATACCTAATGTCTCTACAGGGTTGACCCTACTATTTAACATATTTAGTTTAACTACAGGTGCCTTTTTGTTATCCTTAACATTTATTCCTATCCCTACTTACAGATTTACTCATTCTGTGCAACTCTTTCTCTTGAATAAATAAATTTAGTATTTTAGAATTGTAATAGTTTATTTCTTCCTTTTTTTTTTAATGGCATCTAATATATATATATATATATATATATTTTTTTTTTTTTTTTTTTTTTTCACTGGCTGATTCATCTTAGCAAGTCACGAAACGAAACGTGACTACAATTCCTCCTGTGCCTAAAATTATGAAATATAAGTCATACAGAATTGAAATATAAAGAAATGGACCATAAATAGCCGAACTGTTAAATTCGAAAGTTTTTCCCTATTAATTAAAAGAGTTGGCTGCACGATAATTTACTCCATGAGTACAGCTGCAAGCCAGCTTCCTAGAGATTCCCTAAAAGCATATCTCTGCTTTGGGAGACAGTTAATGTACGCTATGCCAGAATTACTTAAGCAACCGGACAAAAAATATGAGAAAATTTGGAACCACTTTATCGCAAATCAATGAATAACTTTAATTGTAAATCAACGAAACTTTATAAAAAGGAACAACGTATGGTACCTAAGTGCATTGGTAGACAAGATATATGTATATAAAAGGAAAAAAAAACACAGATGCTATTCAAATGCTAATTTTATGTAATATTCCTAATACATCTCCAGTAAATATTAAGATATAACGAAATAAAAGTCTTGCAGGTCTCCAGGGAAAGAATTGACTCGTTTTTAATTTTTTGAATTAGATTATATAGCTATGAAAAAGTGCACTAGGAATGTCTGCATATACTGAACGTTGCTTTCGTGGGAGATCTTCTTAAGAGAAAATTACCTTTTCTTAACGTTATATGTAAGGAAATGGAACGGAGTGAACTACCAGCATTTAACCACTCGTTCATTGATAAGCTGAATTTTCAAAAACTTTAATAAATGGACTTTAATAGTATATTTGCTAAATACATTTTATAATATATCTAATTCAATTTTGTTTTGTTGATTAAATTAATATTTCCTGAATTCATTAAGTAACAGATATTTAATAAATGCAGCTTACTTTAGAAAGAATTATGAAGAGTATTTGAACAACGTGTTACACATGAATGTGTAAAATAAATGCTCAACCACATTATATATATTTTGTTGTTTTACAGAATGGGAAAAAGATTAAAAAGCCCCTTGATAACAATATCTACTCTACAAAGAAAACTGTTGCACAGGGAATGATGGATTTGGCTCTGCTTACTGCCAATGCTTCTCAGCTGAAGCTTATCTTAAAATATAATCAAGAAAAGAGCGCTGTATTTTTCATACACATTACTTGCATATGTATCTCCATAGCATTACAGGTAAGAATATAGTAAGAATCATCTTCTCATTAATTACATAGAAGGTTATATTTATCAATATTACTTTAATTTGAAAATGGTAAATAATGTTGGTAATGGTAAATAAATTCATAATCTTTACGCATTTTCACTGTTTATTTGAATTTATTTCCTATTGTTATATTTGAAGATAGTCCTTAGTGGAACGTAAGACGTGTTAAAAATGAGTGACAGAAATTGTTTAACAAATTGTCATGAAACTTAATGAAACTCAGACCCCCAATTTTTAAAAAAAGTCTTTTATTCTCAGGAATCACATCTTAATTAAAACAGAAATTAGTCGAAGCTGATTTAATATCAAAGAGCTAAAGTGCACACATATATGTATGTCACGCAATTCTTACGTATTTAATAAATTTTTGTTATTGCTGGCAAGACGGAGAAGGAAACAGAAGTTAAAAGCGCAATCAGAAATGGTTAAAGGATGCATCTGCAGTTCTTGTTAGCAAATAATTTTATAGGGTACGTTTACAAAGCTATTTAGGTAGTTTGTATTGATGGTTAAAGCTTGTGTAAAGACAAATTATGAAGGCACTTAATGGATGACAGACAGAGACAATGAAAATATGCTTGCCGTCTTTAAACGATAGTAATAGTGTTACATTTCTGCTGAGATTTTATTTATTGTAGTATTAATCACTAGTAAAAAAGTCCACTTAAAGAACGTTAGTGGCGGTAGCAGCGAATTCAGATAAAGTTCTAAACATTTCGACACTAAAGGTCATAGTATTTTAGTTAAGGGTTTTATTTATTTTGTTGCTTTGTCATGAGAGGTATGTGTAGCTAAGGCAAATTATAAAATTGAAGAGAGCCTTTTGGTTTCTTATCAGGAGTACATTTGATTTAAAATACATAGAGAAAAATGGACCTCTGGAATTTCGTTCTCGGCACGCAAAACATTAATTAAAATAAAATTTTTAACTCTTGAACATCAATAATATATTGTTTTTCAGTGTAACTACTAAAACGTTTCTGTTTCTGCTTATATTTTAAAAACAGAACAGTTGTGCAAAATTTGTTGAATCTAAATTCATACTAATAATTGCATCGAAAAATGTATTATTTTAAATATGGATTTAAATTCAGTAATAGAATAACCAAATAAATTTTACAGTGTATAAGAATCTACAGAAATATACGTAGTCAGCAGCCATGTAGCCGGCAGCTCAAGAATCTCTCAAGAAAAGAAAGTTCTTCACAAAGTAGAAAGAAAAGAAAGTTCTTCAAGTTCAAAGAAATTTCTTTCTTTGAACGAATACGAATAGAAAAGAATTCATAGAATGATACGAATTTTCATTCGTATCATTCTATGAAGAACTGAAGCAATTATAAAAATAAAGCTAAGATCAAACAGAAATTAATACACCTCGAAATCACTAGGCTGTTTACAATCTGAGAAAAAAATATAAATTTGTGCATAATTTTTATTGATTGCAAATTAAGAATGGTTGCGTAAGCTTCTTGAAATGCATTTTGTCATTTTATGCTCAAATTTGCATTAAAATGAGTGTTTTTTTTTTTTTTTTTTTTTTTTTTTTTTTTTTTTTTTTTTCAGAATTTTATTTTAAACCGCAAACATTCACCTCATTGCAAGAAAATAATCCCTAGATAATTTTTCGACTCTTAATGATTGGAAAGACTTAATACTCGGAATGAGTAATAAGAGTCTCTCTTCTCTTTGTTGTTGCTTATGCTCAGTTGTTTGACGTAGTCAGTCCAAGTCAACGAAATTCCTCGTGGTAAGGAGCGCAAGATTACGCCTGTCGTTGCAACAGCCATGAACACCCAACAGGTGACAGTGTGATTTGGCTTAGTTCTGCCCCAATTTTGATGGAGAGCACCCCGGAGGGGGATGGGTCCGAGGGTCTTCCCCTCCTCTCCCCTTCCGAAAAACCACACGAGAGGACTTTCGGCTCGCCTCATATTTAGAGTGCCGCTGTGCTGCATCGGCACAATACATTTGCAAACATCCATGCCTTTTCAGGGATTCGAACCCGGACCCTTCGGCACGGCAGTAGCGACGCTAACGATTAGACCGGTTGGGCGGCTGGTCTCTTTTCTTGAAAGACAAAGCTACTCTGCTTTTACTGCATTCTGAATTCATGAGCATGTTTAACTCACGAAAAATCATGAGCTATTTCATTGAATGTAGGTTACATTTAGCAGATGAATTTAATATATATATGTTTATTTGTTTATATGCATGTTTTGTATGCAAATTTTTATTTATTTATTTTTATATTCCAGATTGTAGTTGGAGTCTTGCTGATTGTGAATTCTCGTTACAACATTAACCGACCATCCCACCATTCCAGAGCGGATCTTATGAACAATCTGACTGTGATCGGTATTTTCCTCATTACCGTAGTCAACGTAATAGCCTCATCATTCAGTGACTCTACATGAGAATGAAGTGTGATATAGTTATGAAAATTTTGTTTCAGATAGCCAGTCATAGTCAACATCTATAGTTATGCATCATTTCAGTTTCTAGTTTAAAATACAGACTTTATTACATCTTTTAATGGATGCTGAGGATAAATTCACAAACTTAATAATTTATTTTACAATATAAGTATTTTGTGCTTTACTTTAAGCACACAAGCTAATCTGTGATTTTTATTTTAAATCAACATTTTATATGTACATAATAAAATATTTCTTAAAGAATGGTTTAAATAATAATTATTAGGTAATTATTATCATTATGTAATTTGCAGTAAGAAAAACTGAATTCAGAAATCAATGCTATTTGCAAAGTTAATTTACTCAGACAGTCATTCATGATTCCATTCGTAACAGAAGAAAGTTGAGTTATAACTAAGGTTGTCTAACCACCTAATTAATTACTTCACCCTCAAAAGTTTCGTCTATGTGTCTGCGAGCTGTCGCTTTTGCTTACTTGTGATTGAGCACCCAAGATTCAACACAAAAATGTAAAAGTTAATTGAAAACTTTATTTCTTCATCGTTTGTGGGATTAAGTTAAAGTAATACAACCAAAATTAAAAGTTCTCTTGTCAACAGCAGCTTGCTGGAACTTAACAGTTTATTAACATACTCATATTAACAAGGTTACATTTCGAATACTAACTGGATCGGGCAGATAAAATTCATCTAATTGTCTAGACTTGCCCATCTTTTACTTAGATCAGCAAACTTTATAGACAAGCACTAGTGGCGGCAATTCTAAAAATCATGTTGGTTACGATTCTTCTTCTCTTTTGAACGTACGCGGCTTATCATAAAATCTGCATAACCCTCTGAGTGAGTGCGAGACGAAACGAGGCTTAAAGAAAAAAATTAACATAAAACAGTTTTTAGTAAACTTTAAATGTCACAAAATGATTACAAATAATTGAAATGTACGATGTTGACGATAATATATAGTTAAGGACCCCAAAATCTATTATGAATTTTCCTGCGATGATTTTTTTCCTAAATTCATACAGGGTGACTCAAAAATATTTGGTAGAAATGTAGAGGCAGCTGGAAGAAACCAAAATAAGTAGATTTTGCAATGGAATGTGTTCGCGTAGAGGATGCAGGGAGATGATACACGACATTGTTGAGTGGTAGGGGAAAGCTTTCTACTGTCATAAATCGTCATTCCCGTTGCGAATTTCGAGCAATATGCACCGCTACATGACAGTGACTATCTTCTATGCTGTTTATCTATGGAGCTGCGACTAAAATAGAGCACCTACTCAAAAGAGATGCAAAGAACGATTCCAAGCATATTCTAGGAGCTTCGCATTCGTGTTGCGATGTATATCGCTCGAAATCCCAAGGGAAATGGTAATTTACGCCACCAGACCGCTTCTGTCTACTGCACAACAGCACCCTGTACCACCTCAATGCGCCATTTCCGCAGTATATTTAATTGCAAAATCGGCTCATTTTGGTTCCCTCTACTTACCTTTACATTTTCCCCAAATATTTTTAATGACACGATACATCAGGGATGGACAAGCTTCAAGACAATGGAAGCCATATATGATAGATCTATGAACGTTCGAGAGCCGCAAGTCCAAAATTATACCGATTCAAAAATAATGATACAGGTTTTGAATATAAAGAAACTTTTGAAGTAAATTAATGAATACGTGATTAACGTGATTCCATATAAATATGAATAAATACATCTTATATCTACTGTTTTGTGTTTAGAAAAAGTAAGTTCCAAAAAATAAGAATGTGTAACTCTTGTACTGGGCAACTGAGTGTTTTTTTCTTCAGACAGAGAAACCAAATATTTTCTAATTTCCTCTATACCTCTTCGTTTATAATTGCTTGTGGTGTAGTGGCTGAAACCGCTACGCAAACCCTGGGTTGTGACACAGGGTTGAAATGAACTTCTAACTCAAGTTTTAACAATATGAATTTTAATAAGATGAAAAACTTAAAAGTTCCATGTCTTGACAATATGGAACTTGGGTATATTTAGTCCCGTAATTTCAGAAATTTGTTACAGGAAAAGTGCTCTAACGCATTATACACGAGGAATGATCGTTCTTAGTAGGCCACCATGCCCATAGCTCTAAACAGGAAAGATTGCCTCCTCTTCTCAGAAAGCCACCTTATATATCTCCCTGTGTTTACTTGTGCTTTGTGGTGACCACACTAAAATCACCTTCAATGGTGACTTTCGCCAAAGGTAAACATTTACATTCTGTGTGCAAATGCTGTTTCGCCCAAACAGTTTCGCCTAAGTCACTAGTATTAATCCACGTACTATTACACAGATATATTCCAGCTCCAGCATCTCTTAGATATTCTCTCTCTGCACCATTAATTACTGCTTTCTTGAATACGGCTCAAAGCACTTTCCTAAATTCTCCGTTTCTAAATTATTCACCAGATTAACCTTATACTTTTCCAGCGACGGACAGTTAGGTCGGATATGACCGTCCTTTCCACATTGGTAACACTTTATTTTTTGCTGTTTCCCGAACCTCGGTTCATTGAAAACCGGCTCTTTTTTAGAATCCTCCACTTTTCTTTGCTCCTCCGATTTAATTCTTTGATGACCACTACTTTTCTGATTATAATTACCATTGGAATTTGCATACCGCTCTTTAACTTTCTCAAATGGTTTCTTGAACCCCGCTCTCTGTTCTAACCTCCTCGTATCTCTTCTCAAGCCTCATACCTGTCGTTTTCTCTGCTAAAATAGAAGCTGTTTTAAATTCTTTTCAATTGTATAAGTAGTGCTCTCTTATTTCTAGAGGGACTCACCGCTTAATTTGCTCGGTGACATAAGTTCCTTAAGACTTTCAAAATCCTGAACTTCCATCTAATCTAACCAATTCTTTAAGTACACTCTCAATTCATACAATAAATCCACCTATAACATTTCGTTTTTTTTCTAGAATGTTCTTCAAATTTTGTTTTTAGAGCCAAAGAACTGAGCTTGAATCTATGCATGAGTAATTTCTTAACATGCTGTTAATCATCCCATTTATCCACTGGTTCTTTTACTATTAAATGCACTACATCATGAGGTAATAAAGGAATTAATTGCCAGACCCAGTTGATCTCATTAATGTTCTCCATTTGAGCCTGTTTCTCAAATAGCATAAGGAATAAATAATGAAATATCTATATTATTCGGTTCAACGCGGTACTAGATATTTCAAATTAACCTTTTCTCTCTAGGTTGCTCAACTGTCGAAATCGTGGAAGCTAAGCTATTAGTCTCAACTACGTTCATCAGTTTTAAAGTTTCCAATTCAAAAACTCGCTCAAGTTCCCGTTCTCGTTCTGCTCTCTGTTGTTTCCATTCCCGTTGTGCTCTCTCGCGTTCACGTTCAAATTCGCGCTGTGCTCCCTTTTTTTCGGCTATTTCTTCTGCTTTTTTTCTGCTCAGCCGCAGCCCAGATTCTTGCCGCGCATTCTTTCGCCAATTCCTCTTCATAGTCCTCGGCATTAAGAATAGCCTGCCTAATTTCTCTTACTCTCTTGGCCTGAGACACATTTGTATCAAACTCCTCCGCTAACTCCAATAGTAGAGCTTTAGTAAATTTCCTCAGAACTCACCCATTATGGAAAACTAAAGCAAAATAAATTATTCCAATATGCAAAAACAACAACAGGTCTATTTCTCCAAAACTGAGGAATACCCTAATAATTCTTACAACACTTAATGATCTCTAACTAATTCACCTATGCATACCTACAAAACATAAATCACAAATGCTAAATAAGATGCAAATTTTTCCTGCACTATCTCAACTATACAAATATTGTCCTCTAACACCGAACTGATTTAAAAACTAAATTTATCTAAAGTATAACGTACAATACTTCATACAATTTAAACAGTTACTAGAACAATAGAATAAACAGTTAAATTTTAATTAGCAAAGGTAACCACAAGACTAACTTTTAATAACCGCAAGAAAACACTTGATCCCCAATAACAGGTCTATATCCAAAATGAACATAGTCTTGAATAACTGACATAACTTCTCCAAAATCACAAAAATGGTACTCACCAATTTGAAGATGCCTTCGATGGCTCTCCTGGCACTACTTCGGGAAACTCCCATACTTGGGAAATTTCACTATTTTGTGGCAGTAGATCACACTCCGACGTTAGCTTCAGACACACTGTCACTTTCTGAAGAGGATTCACCACGCGAACTGTCCTTGCACCCAAAATTAAGAGAAGAAAGTCTTGACTGCTCAGATAAAGTCCTTTAAAACACTGCCTTTTCTGGAACTTCCATTCGATGATCCGGAATACTCACACGACGAGGTGTACGGAAAACAACACACGATGTTAACTGAAGTCCACAAGAGAAAAGTCAGTTCCTAAATTTATTCTCAGGAACAATCTTAACCGCTGCCACCAATTTTAATATTACTGTTGTGGCGTAGTGGGGGAAACCGCTACGCAAAGCCTGGGTTGTTTGACTCAGGGTTGAAATGAACTTCTAACTCAAGTTTTAACAATAACATTAATTTTAATAAGATGAAAAACTTAATAGTTGCATATCTTGACAATATGGGACTTGGGTATATTTAGTCCCGTAATATCAGAATTTTGTTACAGGAAAAGTACTCTAACGCATTATACACGAGAAATGATCGTTCTTAGCAGTCCAACATGCCTATAGCTCTAAACAGGAAAAATTGCCTCTTCTTCTCAGGAAGCCACCTTATATATCTTCCTGTGTGTATTTGCGCTGAACTCCCGGGGGGAGGGGCGAATGAATCTTTCACTCATACATAACAAAGTATCCATCTCCTTACCCTGATGAAAAGACTTCTTTTACTCTTTGTCCATTTGTGCGACCTTCGAGGCTGCAACATGAATCATTAACAAAGGCACAGGCATCCCGGATATAAAACTATTGCACTTTTAAAACTCCTCCTAGACAAAGAACCTTTGTGCCACTTTATCACATGCTGTTGTTTTATTTTACTAGAAGTAAAATGAATCGGAAGCATATTCATTGGTCTACAATTACATAAAAAAAATTATTTTAGTAAATTACAAATCATTATTTAAAAGTAAATTGATCGCTTTTGTTAACTCATGAGCAGTCTTTTAGAAATGATAAATTAAATAACACACGTCAACGCACAATGCAGAGAAACTACACTGGTGTGCAAAAATTAAGGACGAGATGGTTTTTTCAATATAACTTTGTACAAAAGCTTTCCAAA